ACACACACACAGTCCTCGTCTGAAACGGAAAGCCATTCCTCCGTGGATTTGCCTTGTTTGCTAATTTTTTCTTTTCTTTTCCCGACTGATGGTCTATGCCAGCCCCAGCCCCAGCTGCAGCAGTTGATTGATTGAGTGTGTTCCACCGTTGGACCGATTGTCCACACAGCACAGCACAGCACAGAGCACAGCACAACACAAAGCACAACACAGCACAGAGCACAGCACAGCACAGAGCACAGCACAACACAGAGCACAACACAGCACAGAGCACAGCACAACACAGAGCACAACACAGCACAGAGCACAACACAGCACAGAGCACAGCACAGCACAGAGCACAGCACAGCACAGAGCACAGTACAGCACAGCACAGAGCACAGCACAGCACAGAGTACAGCAGAGCACAGCACAGCACAGAGCACAGCACAGCACAGAGCACTGCACAGCACAGAGCACAACACAGAGGGCAGCACAGCACAGCACAGAGCACAGAGCACAGCACAGAGCACAGCACAGCATATCACAGCACAGAGCGCATCACTGAGCACAGCACAGCACAGTACAATACAGCACAACACAACACAGCACAGCACAGAACACAGCACAGCACAGCAAAGAACACACAGCACAGCACAGCACAACACAGCACAGCACAGCACAGCACAGCACAGCACAGCACACAGGAGGGAGGAGCTGCACTGTGCCGTGTTGTGCTGGATTTCTATGTAGGTGTGAGCATTGTTGCGGTAACTTAAACAAGGAAGGGTGTTTATTTGTGGTTGTGTGTGGCAGTCTTACCACAGGCAGTCTGTCGATCCCCATAGCTGGCTGGTGTGGAAGGAGGCACTGGAGGAGCTGCCGTGAGAGAGGGACTGGTTTTTGCTTGGGGTGTGGAGATGGCGGCAGTGAGCATAGGGCACTCCGCCACGGCGAGAGCAGCAACTGTTGGTGTCTTTCAAGGAAGGCGGCTGGACAGAGAGGTCAATTCCAATGGGAGGTGTCACACAGGAGTGTCACCATCGATGGCGGTTGGACCGGCAGCAACGGCTGCAGGTAGTTCAACTCCTCAATCGTCACAACGACAGCCTCAGTATTTGCGGCAAAGGATGTGTGACTTCGTTGGACTCAAGGCATCCTCCACTGCTGTTCTCTCTCCCGGCGAAGTTGTGAGGTCAGCCATAGATCTTATGGGGAAAAGGAGTCATCTTTGCAAATCTTGCACCCGGAGGAGAGCAGTGACGACCTGCATGGCAGGCGATGGTGAAAGTATGTCCAAACAATCCTTCTCCCACTGGCTTCGTCTCTCTCCCAATCCCTCCCTCCTTCCATCTGTTCCTCCCTCTCTCTCCCCCCACATCTCCTGTACACTTGTGTGCAACTATGTGCCTGCGGATATTGGTTACTGGGTCTCTCTCTGTCTCTGGCTTTCTCTGTCTCCCTCTCTCTCTCCCCGCTATGTCTGAGTGTGTATCTGTACATTCCTGTGATCCGACTCTCTCCATGGAATCAAACTGGTGATCTCGGGCTTAACAGCCTGGTGCCTTAAGCACTGAAACCGTTACGCGGTGTTCAAAAGTGGGGCCATGGCAGTCATGATATCCACCCCACCCCTGTATCACTACAGTGTAATGACTCACTCTCACACACATCACATACCTCACGACCATCTACGTCAAGACCATCCTGTAGGCAGGCACACTCATACCCTCACGCAGCCACCTGGTTCAGGTACAACCTCCTAGCTAGTTAGTCACTGTGGTGAGTACAGTATCTGTACATTTCTGTGTCTGTGCTCGTGCTCGCGCACGTGTTTTGTCATGTTTGCTATATGCAACGCCACACAAAAAAAGCATAACTGTGCCAGACTGTTTTGTCGGACTTTCACCAACTCATCAGGTGGTTGAACCCTGATGGTCTTCCCAGGATGCATTTGACTGATGTATAAGGACTCACCGCCTCACCCAGAGTTAGCGATACCCCTGAGAAATGTGTGTGTGTGTGTGTGTGTGTGTGTGTGTGTGTGTGTGTGTGTGTGTGTGTGCGTGTGTGTTGTCATGTTCGCTGTGCACCTCCACAAAAAAATAGGCATAACTGTGCCAGACTGTTTCATCGGTCTTTCACCGACTCATCAGGAGGTTGGACCTGACAGTTTGCCCAGGATGCATTTGACTGATGGCTGAGGACTCGTTATGCTGCCCAAAGTTAGCGATACCCCTGAGAAAAGTGGTTGGCTTTACTCTGTGTGTGTGTGTGTGTGTGTGTGTGTGTGTGTGTGTGTGTGTGTGTGTGTGTGTGTGTGTGTGTGTGTGTGTGTGTGTGCGCGTGCGCGCGCTCGCACGCGTGTATTTCTCTCACAGTCATGAGTTGCTGTCCTTAGCTGAGCATTGCATCTGCTCTGCTCAAAGGCAGGGTCTACCTATCCATACAATCAGGCCTACAGCCATCCATGCAATCAGGCAGACGGACATCCATGCAATCAGGCAGACGGCCGGCCATCCATGCAATCAGGCGTACGACCATCCGTACAGTTTCCTATTGTGTACAATGAACCCTTCAGCATTCCATGCAGCCCGAGTTTATTGAAACACAAGAAGGAGAAAAACTTGAAAGAGCTACACCAACCAGTCTATTCAGATAGCTGTTCCGTCCAATTGGGCGTATGGCGATTCATCCAGGTAGCTGTTCTGTTAAGTTCAGGGGCACTGGTGTCCATACCGCCACTCCGTGCAATCATCCCTTTCACTGTCCTTACTGTTACCCCTTCTGTACAGTCAGCTTCGTAGGCATTCATGCAGTTAGACAATCGGTACAGTCATCGGTACAGTCATCGGTACAGTCATCCGTATAGTCGTCCGTACAGTCGTCCGTACAGTCGTCCTTAAAGCAATCTGCAGAGGTTTCTGTATAGTCTGATACTCGGCTGCTGACAGAGCCACCCCGTACAATTGGCTGCACAGCTGGCACCCGAGGTTTTGCAAGCAGCATTTCCCCCCTGTAAACTCATTTTTTATGTTAGCTGCCTCCAAGGCACAGGTGGTTAACTGGGGGTGTTAAATTTTGCACCGAATGTCATATTGTGCTGATTTTTTGCTTTTAACTGGGGGTGTTAATTTCAGCGAGTTTTGCACCGGAACTGTCATATTGTG